ACATAAACTTTTGGGATTGATTGTATAGCCAATACATCCTTAATTAAAATCTTAATAAACGTAATATCTACAAGGTCGTGCTCCTCATTCTTTTATATTGATGGATATAAAAAGCGTTCGGAGAACTCACCGGTGGTGTACATGGCGACCGCTTTCAGCGTGACCGGTTCGAGCACCACGGGATCGCTCCGACCCTTTGCGTTGACAGCGTACAGATGGAGCCTATATTTACGACCGGGTTCCAAACCAGGAATCTCAAAAACCGGACCAGGCGAGCTAGATCTTTCCGTGTGGTTTGGGTAGAAGGTATTGACGGGATAAACGTTCTCCTCACTGTACACCTCCAGCTCGTAGTTGGTTACCGGCAAACCGCCGTCAAATCCCTCCGAGCATCTGACGATCAACCAGTCCGCGTCTCTCGAGTCGGTGGCTTTGAAGTCCTCATGACCTATATTTTCGTGGAAAAGCGTAGAAAGGTTCGATGAGACGCCGCTATTTATGTCACGAAACTGTTCCCAATTTCATATTCGGAATATTCATTTTAAAACGAAATTTTACATTTGGGCTGGCATTTAAGCAAGCTTCATATAAATATAATAAATTTAATAATTCTGAAATAATTATGAGAATGTCCGATTAAAAATTAAATGAGAACGATCAAAAGCGACAAGGCCAGGAAAGGGCTCGAACGCACTTCAAAACGACTCGGGTACTTCTAATAGGATGATTTATGATCACCCTATTTCATTTCACTAACAACACGAGTAGCAAACGGCGTCAAACATTCTACCCTTGGTATCGTTTTCCCGTAACAAAAAACTCGAGACCCTCCGGAGCGGGACAATTGATCCCGTTGGGGATCGCCTAATTTCACGATCGTTTTCACGCACGATCGATTACCTTGTATCTCTGGTCGAGGGTTACACGGTCATGTAAAACTAGCTGTTTTAGTCAGCATGCAACTATCGATTACGCGTGTAAATAAACACGTAACGAGTAGTTCAAGTTCTGTTTTATGACAGGTGAACTTATTATGCAAAACTCATGTCTTAAAATGCACTTGTAAAATGTACGACTTAGAAAAGGAAATAATATTAATTTTTCTTATTGAAATTAGACAAAATATACTCTTGTATTTGAAATACAATTTTAACTATTTATTATTTATAGTACAATTTGTTATGCGATAAACTTAGTAGTATCTTAAGACATGAGAACTATAGTGACTATCATTTAAGGGTTCCATCATTGCTTACTTATTCGATATGCGTACGGGCCGGTGGACTGCACGGCCGTGCAGTTTTGCAGGGGATACGGTTTCCCGGCGACTATTATCTGGAAAAGACAGGGCGTCTTCTGCACTCCTATCCGGTTTTCCGCCCAGCAGGCAACCGTGCCGTAGTCCATGTCGCTCACCGGCGTGTAATTCAACCTGGACCCGTTCCAATGATTGGTGATCACGCTGAGCGGCTTCGCCTGCGTGAACCTGTCAGCCGGCACGTTCATCAGTTCACCAGAATTGTTGAAGGTCCAGTGAAACGTCGTCGGTGGCGGTTTCGCCTGTACGCCGCACACCAGCGAAATCGTTTCGTGCTTCAAGGCGCCCACCACTTGGGTGGACGAGATGCAAATCGGAGCGTCTGCAAATGCGACAAGACACGGTTCGAACAATCCATTTAAGAGCACTCACTTCTATGGAACTGCGAACAAGACTCGCGACAAACTGAGTTTCCATCATCAAGTAAATTATTATACAAAAGTTCGCATATCGAAAATTTATTCCGTTAATAATTCAAATATCGTTGAGTTCTGTACAGTTTTCATATCGTTCGTAATTTCATACGCTTCTCTCAATCCAACTATGTACTTAATTCCCGATGTAATTAATCACGAAATGTAAAGATAGTACTTACACATTATATCCAACTTGATCGATTCGCTGGTAGATTTCCCTTCGTCGTTCACCGCCATGCAGAAATATTCGCCGGCAGAGTTTCTAGTCACGCTTCGCAAAACCAAAGATTGTCCGCTGGGAAGAAAAATTCTAGCAGTCGCGTTTTGATACAGCTCCTTTCCGTCTTTGTACCATACAAGCTTGTACGCCTCCGGATTCGCTTGAACCTTGCATTCAAAGTAGACGTCGTTGCCCTCGGTTATGTCGTTCGCCTTTAGATTCGAACCCAGTCTGATTGTCACTTTCGGTGCGTCTGAGAATTTCAAAACGGAACCAGCCAAATATGGTAATACTAAAAATCATATCTCTGTAGACTTCCAGATTTTTAATAATATATCAATTTTATTAAAAATCGGTTAATAATTTATAAAAATGTTTCTATTTTTTTATTATTTATGTCTGATATACTAAATATAATGGCTATTATACAATAGTACCAGGGAAATAAAAGTGCCATCGTAAAAAAAAAACAATTTTTGTCAGGATTTTTTTTATCTGTTGAAATTGACCAAAAACCTGTATCGTGTAAAATTCAATTCACTCACAGAACACTAGCAGCCGCCATCTATCTTCCAAAGCACTGTTGGACAAAACCGAATTTTCCGCCCGGCAGATCAAGTGTTTTCCATCATCCCCCATGGTCGGCACGTAACTCAGCACACTTCTCGTGATGTTCGAACTATCTTCAAACTACGAAGAACTCAGAATCGGAGCTCGCGGGCCTATCGCTTTCGTCATGGAAATCGAGTGGAACGAACGAAGGTACAAAAATATTTTACTCACAATTTTAGCCATGTATTTGACTTGATGGATTCCCTTCCACCACGTGATTACAACCTTTGGCCTGGAACCCGAACTGACGCATTCGATGTCATACGTACTCAGCGCCGACAAATGCGCCCTTTTATTAGTGATATTCACTATCAACGGTTTCACTGAAATTCAATGGAATTCGCTGTTCGATCAATAAAATAATTCATAAGATTTCTTTTATATTTGCCGGCAATTATTTGAAGATAACAGTTTATTCGAATTTTACTCAGTTAATTGTCTTCCATTTTATCTCTGTCCTCTAAAGTTTCCCGACTAAAGAATCTTATACTTCCGAATCGCGTTTTCCCCCCATAAAATTCGATTGATTTTTTGCAATATCAGTTCCACTGCTGCCGTTTAAGCTATCTACTGGTTTGATTCTATTTAACTCGAAGATCGAATCAGTTTCATCGGCTGATTAAACTTTTCCGCGTGCATTGTGTGCTTATCTTCTCGCGTTTTCACGACAGTCCATTAATTAGTATAGAGGGAAACGTGATGAACGTCTTTCCGAGCGAGCGCGTACCTCTTAACGAGAAGCAAACATTTAACCAGGCAATTAACAAGTTCCAATGCAGTTTCGTACTCACGATTAATATCCAAAATAATCTCGGAAGTCACAGGAGCCAACAGATGCGTGTTCCTCGCTTGGCAAATCAGCTTCGCGTGGAGAAAGTTTCTGGTGACGTTCGAGATATCGAGACGATTTATCGTAATGTGTCCATGCTCTAACGTGTACGTGTACGTGTCGTTCAGCATTTCGCCCTCGAAGTGCCACGTGACTTTCGGCGGCGGCGAACCCCCGATCACCTCGCACAATAACGACAATTCGCTACCCTCGTTGAAGGGCTGCGATACCTTCGCCAAATTTCGGCCGTCGCTGGTGTAAATCACAGGCTTGTTCGGTGGCACTGCATTCAACATTTGTACAAGTCGTACACATTGTATAAAACCAAAGCATATATATAATGTCGAGTTTATTGTAATAAATAATCCTCGAAAATGTTTAAGTACTCGTCTTTTAGAATCTGTTTTGAAACGTTATTCATTTCTTACAAAGCTGCCTAAATTTATACGGGACTACGTTTTTGAATGCTGTGAGAGATCGGAAGTCATTTCGGGGAGAGCGGAACGAGCGGCGTACAATTACAGGGTTAAAAACAACATCGAGGCGATGTCCAAACAAGCGTCGAGCCTCCGAAACCGAAGCAATTAATCACGAATCAGAAAGAGGAAAAGAGCTCGCTCACCTATCACCGTGAGGTTAACCTTCTGATTTCGCGTCGGACTATTTTTGTAATCCACCCTGCATCTGTACACCCCGGCGTCGGCCGCCTCCAAAGGATCAATCTCCAATTTCGCCGGCCTCATCTTCATGGTCGCCCTTTCACCGAATATGTTTGGATCCGACCAAAGGCTCGCTTGATCTATCGATCTGCGAGCGTCCACCCTGTATATCGGCTCGCCATCCCTCTGGTCTTTGTACCAAAAAACCATGCTCACCGCCTCCCGTTTATTCCCCGGATCGATGTCGCAAGGTATTTTAGCTTTGAAACCAGCCACCGCCGATATCTCCAGCATCGGTACTGAAAAACACCGAAAACAACAACGAGGTTAATGTCCGATCCTCACGTTGCAAAATTTCAAAGGCTGTAACATTTCCTAAACATCGTTTCAATAATTTCGAGCAACGAGCGCATATTTCAACTTAAATATTTAAAAAAAAGATTATTCTTATCGTGTACATGAGATTAAGCGTGTGACCGCTAAATCTGCTCTTCTTTGGTATTAAAAAGAATAATCCGTTGCTTAATTTTTACGAAAACACGGGAGCATTAGAAATTTAGAGACTGGCTTCCCGACACTCGTGTACCGGTGAGCTATTACCGCCACATAGATCTCCTTCCTAATTCTACTTCCAAACAAGGTACGCGGCTTGTCTGAGAGCCAGGCCACCGCAGCAACGCGCCAGAGGATCTCGTATATTTTCTTCGCCGCAACCGCAAATTTCCAGTTTAGTCAGTCACCAAGGGGCCGAGTTACTGCAAATTGATCGAACCTGCACGGCCGAGAAAACAAAAGTTCGTACGTGGCGCGTGTATGTATACTCCAGCATCGCATCGGCACGCCGCCGCCCCACCGTAGCCGAGGTCAATTAATTGGTCTACTTGCCGATTTATGCCCGTAGTCCTCCAAGTTGCCGCGGCGTCGCGATTTTATTGGCTTTCATAGCCACCTCATCAATCGTCCTGCCACCTAACCGACCCACCCACTAAAACTGGCCGCGCGCACTAACCTCGTTATCCTTTTCCTCGCCAGGCCTTACGATACAACGGCTGCTCGGGAAATTGCCCTTCGCTACTCGTACTCCAGCCCCGGAGATTAATCACGCGCGACCCTATCGATTTGCTGCATGAATGTCCATCGTTTTTCCTCCTTTTTTGCGTTCCCATCGTTCTAACTTCGACGAGCTTTCGATAGAACTGACCTTAAGCTATATTACTGCGTTGTCATTCAAGGATTTCGTTTTTGCTATAATTAATAAAGCTAGCTCTTGGTAAGATACATTAATATCGTTTCTAAATCAGAAACCAGAGAACTGTTGAAACGAGATAAAAAATTCTGACGATGTGTAAGTTTCCCTATTAATTAATGTCTGAGAGAATTACAATATTGACTGAAACTAGAACTGAAATAAAAATGATCGCTAACGGTAGCGGGGAATTATTCGTGGAATAACTATAAGGAAGTCCATAAAACGTGAAGAGGCGATCGATTGGAATTCCAATCTTCGGTCTCTCGACAAACACAGCCACGCTAGACCGCGCCTGGCCGTGCTCGATATCCTGTATTCCGATTCCGAGCAAGAATTCCCGCGGGCGTAGCGTAAACGATAAAAATTTCGCGAAAATTCACCGGCCATCGGAATACGCCGCGGCGTATCGCGGGACGTGCCTCGGAAGTCATCAAATTTATGGACGATGAAACGTTTCAACGCGTACCATGGGAACTCTCTGACGCGAATTTAAACAAAATCAGTCCCGATCGAGAATCGCGCCGCGAAGAATCCCGCTTAACTCGTAAAACTGCGCTCGATTCATCGAACCCATTTGCGCTGGACGCCGCACTCGTGCTTCAAGCTCGTTTGCAACAGTTTCCCGCAACTTGAAATGTTGATTATTCCAGCAAACGAGTATACGATACTACATCCGAAACACTTTATTCAAGACAAGTTTTTAATGCTCGTTCGTATAATTGATTTGCCACGTTGCAGTTAAATACCTTACACATTGCGTTATGTTGAAACATTAATCAAGTATCATTATGCTAATTATTCTAGCAGTCTCGGTAATGCTCAGCCTTTGAATCGTACACTGCTACAGTATCTCCATTTAAATCACTGGAATCGGTTATTGCCAGCCAGCCGTCATATCCATTTATGAATTACCGGCTGTTACATTCATCCTACGGATCACCCTTCAACAAACCAAGCAAACGATACAACATCATCTGCAGACAGTGGAGAACGCAAGATATCAAATTATTGGATCCGGTTTAAATCCAGTCTGAACAAAACAAACACCTGTTAGCCACGCTACCGCATAATATTACCTCTCCAAATACGGTGTATCGTCAAATACTAAATAATTCCTAATATGTTCGCCCAATCCCAAGCGAATCGATAATAATTCGAGCGGCTAATGCTCGAAGACAATTGACGGATTAATTTGACCAACGCTACGTTTCATTAGACACTCCATTGAGTGTCAAATCCATTGAGTTATATAAAATATCTGGAGTGTGCGCGTCTGTCAAAAGTCGTAAGATAGAAGAGTAGCGACGATGCTCCAAGAAGCGAGAAGCTATGGGGGATCTCTATCCTTCTTTTTATATTCTCTCTCTCTATTTGTATTATCTTGTAGTAAATTTAACTATCGTGGGGATAGAAGTTCAGTATTCTATCGAATCACTTGAATTTATAACATTGTCAATCACTCGACATATACGCGTCTTAGTTCAGATTCAGAAAACATGCATTATACACCTAAAAAGAGAAAGAGATTCCTTCACGGTTCCTCTTCGTCGGCGAACGTACCCCCCCATTCGTTCACACTCCAAATGTTTTATATAGCTCAATACTCAATGGTCAAATCAAACAAGAGTCGACGTGTTACTTTTACCATTTGCGGGTTCAATCATCGTACAATTTATTGAGAGTATAAACCCTGCTGCGGAAATGTAACACAGAATCATTTTGCTGATTCTGCGCCCGGAATTATTCAAGCTGTCTACTGAGGCGTCGTTTGACTCAAGGAAGCTGCGTCATTGGAGCAAAGCGGATAAAGTCTGGTAAATCGCGTAGAGACGCGCCGATTGAGTTGCGACGCGACGTGACAGATGCAAGCGCGCAAACAACGCACTACTCGACGCGAGGCGACACGAGGGTTGAACGTTTACGGATTCGACATGCGTATTTGGGCGGGCATCAACGTTTACTTGAGGGAGTTGTGTGCAGGATCCGTTCTCAGGACGGAAACACACGTATCGGGCTACACGCCGATCCCGGGGTAATTATTCAAAGCAAACGCAAGCTCATGTCGCAGATCGGTAATGCATCGCATTATCCGCTTCCTTCTATGTCTACGTACATATACGATCCCACGAGTTCCCGCGCGCGTTCCAAGTTTCAAGCTGTCGTGAAACAACCGGATGCGAAGCGAAGTACCACGTATCCATAGCCTCGGATCAAGCACTGGGACCTGGTAATCTTATACGATACAAATTTCAACCGTTCTGACCTGATCGAAATTAGCGAATTATTATAGTAACATAATAACAATGTTACTTTTACAAGCACAGAAAGACTTGAGATGACTTGACGCTTTAATCCTTATTGTTATCTTTTTAATTAAATGCTCAAATTATTCTGTAAATAATACTGATCAAACGATCATCAGTGTTCTGTTTCGCATAGTGGAGTGAAAATAATATAAAACATCATTATCTCCGATCTAATGCAATATGGAAATTCGAGCTCTATTATCCTAGAACGTCTATCGATAACGAGCGGATTGATTCGAAATGTGAACGTTACGCGAGAATTCGCAAGGGAAAATCTCGCGTTACCGTTGAGGGATGCGCGGCGTACGGCGTACGCGCGATTGTTATCGTTCGGCCGTTTAAACGCGCGAATACGCCGCCTATTTCGAGACCTGGGCTCGTGCAAACACCGGCATCCGTGTAAACAGAGTAACAACCCCTTTTCGACGACACCCTGGAAAACAACGTCGACTTGGCAAACACGTATCGTCGCTGTGATCGAGAACGAGCACGCTCAGAGTCTTCGTCGAACGAAGAAAGGAATAAACGAGGACTGCTCATTCGTTTAAGCCTCTCTTTTATAGAAACGTTAACCCTTTCATGATACAGAATCAGGATTAGAAGGAGTAATTATTATGTCACAATCTGTATTTCCTCAAATCTTTGTATTTTTATTCGTTTCATCTCATTATTTAAGGATGTATTGGCTATACAGTCAATCCCAAAAGTTTATGCACTTTAGAAACGCATTTTTTAAAATGAAATCANATGTAATAATTCCTACAAAAAAAATAAACTTACGAGATAAGTAGACTTACTATAAAATGTTACAAGTACCCATCGTTCTTCGAATAATTACTGACAGTGACAACATGTTCTGGATACCTTTTTTCTCATTGGATACGGCAACATCATCTTTCAATTTTTCTCGCAGTATAAATTTTATCGGCATCCCTTAAAGCATCAATTTCACGTGAATACGATAAAGTATACTCACTTAATGCAGCACTCTCATTCCTAGAGGGATGGCACAGTTTATGCCCGCACTTACCGTAAAAAGAATTTCAAATAAGGAACGCGAAATTTTTCAAAAAAAAAACTTTTACGGATGAAATTCGCTTCGAAAGGGAGCCAGCCGCGTATTTTATATGTAACCTACATTATATAAATGGATTTTAGGAATGTAACGTGACACAGTTTCTCATAAAACTTGAAACGTCGCGTGTGTGCGAGGCGAGCGAAAATTCAAGCTGAAGGAGCGTAAGCGTTGTTGGGAGCGGCGGAGCTCACTCCGTATGGATCGTTGAAAATAAAGTTGTGCTTGGGACAGGCGCTGTTATAGTAAACTTAAAGAACGTGCCCATTGTGACACAGCGTGTAGAAATGAATAAGGACAGAATATGTAAAACGTTGAATGGCAATAAATTTAATACGTTACTCGTTATGGTAATTGGATCGTCTATTACATTCTTCCAAAATTATTTTTAACACCTCCTACGTATTTACGACCAGTAATCTGTGAACGCTTTCACGGTTTCGCGAAACCCGCACACGGTTCTAACTTGAAACGCTCTTCTCCCATTGAAAAAGAGTAAAACCGAACCGACGTTTGAAGTCGCACAAAATTTTAGGTTGATTTTCACCCTTCGAGCGTAAAAAGAGCCAATGCCCGGCGAGTGGAAACCGGCGGTGAGGCGCGGGGCGCAGTGCGCAAACGAATAACCGCTATGATCGATATCCTTCCAGAGCGAGGGAAAGCGAACAA